GAGGAACTGGGTTCAATTCCCAGTACCCACATGGCAGCTCAGAATTGTCTGTAGCTCCAGTTTTAGGGGTCTGATGCCTTCTTCTGATATCCTCTGGCACCAAGTATACATATGGTCCATAGACACACATGCAGGCAAAATATCCATAAACTTTTTAGAAAGAACACTAGCAAGAACACTTTGAAGTCAAAGATGCCTGAAAATTCAGATCCCAGCCTTTGCTCCTGTGGTCATGGACACCTGATTTAGACAGTTTGTCTCTCTGTGCCCTCACTGTAAAATCAAGATAGTAACACCAGCCTCTCAAAGACAACATGAAGATTTAATGTCTCTTACATGTAAAGCACATAGAGTAAGTACTAAACATAGCATAAATGCTCAGGAAAACACAGGCTCTGATATGTTCTTCTAAGTAGATAGGACAAATATGTTGACTTGTTTTGGGGGGAAAAAGTCTCAGAGGGGAGAAAAAAATCTCTCAGCTGCTTAAATAACTATGGTTTGCTGTTTGCTTTATTTCTCAATTTTCTTTTGCTTATTTCAATCGCTGTTTCATTTGTTACTCAATTTAGTTTTACTTTATGTGTATGGGTGGAGTTTTCTGCACGTATGTCCATGTACTACATACATGCCTGACATACACAGAGGGCAGAAGAGAGTGTCAGATCCTCTGAAATTGGAATTGCAAACAGTTGTAAGCTACCATGTAGGTGGAAATTGAATGTATGTGGTCTGGAACAGTAGCTAGTGCTCATAACAGCTGGGCCATCTCTCCAGCTCCTTGTTCAGTTTTATGAAGGCAAAGTCCCAAGTAACTTAAGCTGGTCCGAAACTGGCTAGGTAGCAGAGGCTGACTTTGAACTCCTGATCTCACCCAAGTCTCTGCCCTTTAAATTCAGGGATTGCAGGTACACAGCATGAGCCCAGATCATCGTTTTCTTTAAAAGGAAAAAAGTTAAACAAGAATGTGAATATGAAACCCTCACATACTGCCAGCAGGAATATGCAGCCACTTTAGAAAAACAGTCAATTTCTCAAAAAGTCAATCATACAGTACAGAACGGTACAGCCTGAGAGAAACATACACAGTAAGACTAGTTTCTAAATACCAGTCACCCAAAAGAAATACATTGGGTCAAGGAAGATGGCTCCATGGGTAACAGCTAGTGCCTCAAACCCGACTACTTGAATTTGGATATTCAGAACCCAGGCAAAGGCTGGACTTTATGCACATCTCCTGCAGATGGGAGAGGACATAGACACACCCTGAAAGGGTCCTGGTGTCTACCGTATAGGAACAAAACAAGAGACCTGACCAACAAGACGAAAGGTGAAAGCCAACTCCCAACACCTGACCTCTGACCTGCACACAGGTAGTGTGGCATGCAGACTGCTTTTACATACATGAGCGCACATGCACACAAATACACAATAATAAAAATTTTAAAAGAATAAATGCCACAATACTACTCAGGAATGCTTGTTTATTAAGCATTTGTTCTCTTGGAAATTATCTCTGGGAATTAAGAAAGTAGAAGGCATAAGCAACATGTTAAGTGCGTGGTCCTTACTCAATAAAATGTTTTAAGTAGGTGCAGGTTGCTAGCAATGGCACTAAAAAAAAAAAAGTAGCTTGTCCATACAATGGAGTACTCTTCATCCCTGACAAAGAATTAGAAGTGATACATGCTAATGGCTGGACCTTGAAAATACTTTGCTGTCACAAAAGGTGATTTTTGTCAGGAAATATCCAGAATGGGAAAATCCATGATGGCTAAAAGGATTGCCTTCCAGTGACCCATGAAAGAAAGGAAAGGAAATGACAGCCAACGGATGCCACCTTTGTTAAAAAGATCACAGGAAGGCTCTACAACTAGAAGTTGGTGGCCCATATACAACACTGTCGATGTACCAAACCTCCAGAATGTACACTGTGAATTGTCAAGATTATGTTATGTAAATTACTTCTCAAAAAATTTTTTTAAGGATTTATAAAAGACATGCTCAAGGAGACACAGGCTGAGGAAACTGTGGGTTAAAGCCCAGAAGCAGTAACAGGCTTTGTTGAAAGCATAGTGACAATCTGATAAATCTGTGGCCTGTGGACTATGACTTGTTTGCAACATTCTGTTGACTATAGAAGAAGAGGAGCCGAGGGCAAGCTGGAAAGCAGCCGCTGCTGGACACGTAGGACAGAGCAGGTCCATACATAGCTTCTGGTAAAATAGCTACTAGGCACACACAGTAGGACCACAAGGAGAACTTGGCAGGCTGCAAACGAAAACACCCAGCTCCTAACTTTTCATGGCCTGACAAACCTCGTCATATGAAATTTACAACAGTGTGACAAGCTGGTAAAAGTATATGATGGACATTAGTAAAAATAAAATAAAATAAAATGAGATGAAATGAAATAAAATAAAATAAATAGTTTGGGGTCTTAGTTGGTTTTTTTTCTCATTGGTGTGGATAAAATGTTAGCCTTGGGGGAGGAAAGGTTCGCTTGGCTTTCAGCTCTGAGTCCATCTTGATGGAGAAGGCACGGCAGTGGGAGAGACTTTGTCTGTGGCAGTGGAGGTGTGTGGTGGCAGCTAGTCACTTGTGCAGACAAAGGAAGAAAGGATAGATACAAGCTTGAATGAGGGCCACATTAGAAGCTTCAAAATCCTGCCCATAACAACTTACTTCTGCCAGCAAGGCCTACCTCCTGAAACCTCCACAGCTTTCAAAATAGCACAAGTAGCTATGAGACAAGCATTCAAAACATTATCCATTGGGGGACATTTTAGAGGCAAATAGTAACATTTCACCTCTAGCCCAAAAGGCTAATGGCTATCTCATAATGTATAAAGTCAAGTTCAAGAGTCCTCGTAGTCTTAGCAGTTCTGACACCATTTAAAGGTGCAGAGACCTTGTAAAATAAAAAAGAAAGTCGCCTACCTCCAATGTACATAATCAACATTTCTAAGCCAACAAAGAGGGAGGGACAGGGAAGAATGGAACATAGCAAGGAAAGACTGAGCAGATAACTGAAAACCAGCAGGGCAGACATGAAGTCCGGCAGCCCTATGCCCAGCATCAAGGGCACGTGGGAGCATCATCTGAGCTCCAGTAAGCCCAGAGTCTGTCCTGTATGATTCTACCATTTGCAGCACTTGTGGCATCTCTAAATGGATTCACACAGTGCCTTCAGCAGATATTTCTGGCATCTCCAATATCAGACATTGTAAAGTAGGCATCCCCTTCATAGCTGCATGTATAGCTCACTCGGGTGGTGCCCTGCAAGAATCCCAACCCTACTGCACACTGCCTAGCCTCCGTGGCTTTTCTCTGGAACCTTTGGAACCTTGGTACAAGCTTCTAGGACTCTGGGAATCTTTCATTCAGCTTATTAGTGAACCAGCACCACACCGATGATGCCACGTCCAGCTGCCAGCTAGCTGTGTAGACACGTCCTCCTGCACTATTGCTGCATCAGAGTGAGTAAATATTTCCTTAGGTTATCATTTTCCCTCGGGGAACCCTTCAGTGGTCTGTTTTAAATAAAAGGATTTAGATGGGTTTGTGTTTTCATGCTTTTGAGCTCTTGTTGGGTGACCAATGCAAGACACTGTCCCAGGGGGTCCTCTTTCTCTTTAGCAATTGTCACCACTTCATCTACATTTGCTTTGTCACTAACTTTAACAATGTTTGCATTCTTTCTCTCTAAACTGAGCATTTTAAACATTTCTATATTATTGCTATGTATATGTAAGAGGTGTGTCTATAAAGGACTATGCATGCTACCCCGCACATATTTAGATCAGATAACTTTGTGGGGTCTGTTCTTTCCTGCTTTTATGTGGGTTCCAGGGCTCAAACCCAATTCATCAGACTTGTTCAGCAAGTAAATGCCTTCACGGGCTGAGTCGTCTCACTGGCACCCTAAACTAACACACACACACACACACACACACATCTTTCAGGTTCACTTTTCGTCCCCATTTTTCGCTGTAAATCTGGCTGAAACCAGCATGCAATAACTTTCATAGTCTGAACATCATGCTATGTTGACATTCCTCCCACCAAATTAATTAGTTCGTTTTTAATTCAGCTTCAGTCACATTCAGCAGAATATAAAGAGGCTTTTTCTGTTTTAGCACATAACACCAATGGCTTCTAGGGCAGCCCTTCCTAGAGTTTTTGTTTGTTTTGATTTAATCTCCCCTGATACCTTATGGTCTTGATCTTTCCTGGCCACCTTCCTATGAGCTCTGTGATCTTTCAAATGTCCATCAGAATGGCTTCTTAAGTTCTGCTTGCAACAGCCTAGGGCTTTTCTATCCTGCGGTTCTAGTTCCTCCGCATCCCTCCTGGAAATCAGTTCCCAAGGTCCAAGAACCACAGGTCACAGCAACACTGCCCACAGTCTATAACAGTTTCTCAAGGTCCATTACTTGTCTTGTGGCTGTGACCAAAATTTTTGACAGAAAATTATGGCCCCCAGCTTCAGAAGCTCTCAGTCCAGCATGGTAAAAATTCAGCTCAGTCCACACAGTGGGAGCACATGATGGCTTTCATGCCACAGGCCAGGAAGCAGATAACCCAGCTGGAACACGTAACAGGCATAGGTTTCAAAGGCCCAACCCTAGTGACCTACATCTGCTATACATGCTCCATAGCCTTCAAAATAGAGCCAGGAGCCAGGAGACAAGCATGTCAGGTACAAATCACAGTAGCCCACCTTAACCATTAAGGTGGTTAACCATTAAGTGATTAAGCTTCTTTAATTAGGTGTGTCTAGTTCTGTAACATAATTGTGTTCTGATACTTCTAAGTATGGATTTCCATTTTGGGCCTAATGAAAACAGAATACTCAGGACTTGGAAGGAGAAAAAAATCTTAATGAAAACAAAACTTCAAGGAAATAAATAAGGGCCTTTTCACTCCAACTTGGTATTAGGTACAGTGCACAGAATAACTAAACAGTGTTAAAGGAGACAGAACACACAAGTCAGTACTCACACATGTATTTACATTTATTGAATGAGAGAAATCAGAATAAATCATCCTGGGAAGGAAGCTAGGCTGAGAACCAGCTTAATGGCAGAATGACAAAGGGACAGGCATGGGACAGGGCAGGGGTGTTCCAGCTTACACTCCTGCAAAGAAAATGGGCAAAGCCAGCGTCACGTGTTGTGACACCCCCTCGGCCACTCTGGAGAACCCTGATTGTTCCAGACATCTATTCCTGCACACAAGGGAGGTGAGGAAAGAAAGGGAAACTGAGGTACCATTGGGAAAACTAGCTTCTCTTTCCTTCTCTGCCTTGAATGTTACCGTGACTCAACCAGGAGACTTCCCCTTCGTCTCCAAGCAGGGGCTACTCACTTAGCATCTAGTTGTGTTGAAGTCAATCAGATTCCGAGTCCACAGCAAGGCCAAAGTAGCTTGTTTGTCCACGCCGGGGCAGAATGGAGGAAGTTCACATTCAGCACAGGCATAGCAATGTGTCATATCATATTGCCAAGAGCTTGCATCATTTCTAAACTTTCCGGAAGCCTGGATGGGCGAGAGGTCATCTGTGTTTATTTTGCGAAGTTTGACCTACCAGGAAATGTGTGGGTACAAGAGATATTTCAGGCCCCTGAGACTCTAACTTAAGACACTTAAATCCGGCAGGCAGCCTGTGCTACAAGCTTGAGCCTCTAAGTAGGTCTTTGAAAAGAGTGGCAAATTGCAAAGTATGAGAGGTTTTTTGGCTGCACAAACCAAGCCACGTATAAAACCCTGTTGCCAAACAGAGACTAGAACCAGATGGCAAGTCTGAAAACACACAGCACGTATTGACTCTTCTATAAAATACTCATTACCGCCTAATCCAGTAATAGTCATTTCTAGAAGAATTGCATAAACACTCATGAATCCATTTTAATTAAGGTTGTAAATTGACCTTACAAAATATCTTTGAACAAAATTTTTCATGTCAAGTTGTTTTAAGAATATAATGAAATTTCTTCATCATAGGAGAAAAAAGGATGCATCTGAAAGACGCAATTTTCCTCATGTTGAAAGCATATGTCGTGAGCCGTCCACCAGCAGGCCTTCTCTGGCAGACAGTGAAGGCTGTTTTGGTCTCTGTCTCATTAGTAATCTAGCAGGTGACTAGAGGCCTTATCTAGAAGAAAACTGTCTTTCCATGTGGGACTAACAAAGAAAATCCTATACATACACACACACACACACACACACACACACACACACCTCCAGACCCAATCCCAATCACATACATAAAGAGTATGGGAAACTCATGATAGAGAATGCACATAGCCAATGCTAAGGAAAGGATGGATGCAGAGGACACTTCTACCCCGAAAGGTACAGGCTCCAGTCACCACCATTCTTGTCCACTGCAGTTACTATGATGAGGCCCAGGTTATCCTAAAAAGAGTAGACCCGCATTTTCATCTCCCTAGCAGACAGCACTCCCTATGCACTATTCTGGGGAAGATCATTCTGGAACCCTGCAGTGGAGTGTTAGGGCCATGCTGACAGGCAGTAAGTCACAAGACTACCTGGAACTGAAAATGTATATGCATCAACTACAGACACTTACTCCTTCCCATTCTGGGCTTGGGTCCAGCTACTTCTAGAAAGTTCTGCCTGAGACACAGACGCACACCACTCCCCAGTTCACCTATCTAACTTGCAAGGATGGCCTCTACCATGAAGACTTCCCTTGTGGAACCAAACCACTACTTGCAGCAGAAAGAGGCCGGTTACTTAGGTCTAATTCCCGACCTCATCATTTTACTGTTTGACATTCACATTTCTAATACTCTGGAACTACGTAGTTACTTCTCAAAAATTTACCTCAAGCTACACATCCGTCCATCTGGCTCAGTTCCTCAAGGCAGTTTCTTCTTGTGATTTGCCCCTCCTTGCATATTGGAGTTGAAAACCCATCTTTCCTATCTGCTTTTAATATAATCCTGACTCACAAATGTGCTGCTTCTTCTTGAGAAGTATTTTAAATCTTGGACTCTTTGTGTGTGGGAATGTGCATTCTTGCCAAGCACTGTATTCTTAAGTTGCTGGTTAAAGATGTGTCTTAATGGCTCACTGTGTATATCTCCAAGAGTCCTGAAATCTCAGTCTCTCTCTCTCTCTCTCTCTCTCTCTCTCTCTCTCTCTCTCTCTCTGTACATGTGTGTATGTACAAGTGTACATGTGTGTGTACATGTGTGCATGTGTATACAGGTGTGCATGTGTGTATGTGTGTACATGAGTGTGTGTGTACAGGTCTACCTGTGTTCATGGAGGTCATAAATCAGTTTCAGCCATCGTTCCTTTCTCTTCTTCCTGAGGCACGCCTCCCATCAGCCTGGAACTTGCTGATTTGGCGAGGCTGGCAGCCAGTAAGCCCAGTGATCTGCCTGTCTGCACCTCTGCAGTGCAAGCATTACAAGTATGCATCTGTTACTGGCTTCTAGACAGGGATCTTGAGGATCGAACTCAGTTCTTCAACTGAGCAGGCTCCCAAGACTGCAAGGGTCCTGAAACTACCTCAAAAGAGAGAAGAGGCCTCCGATCTGGAAACATTCTCAATAAAAGAAGAGCAAAATTAAGCCTTTATTGCCACTGTCAAACTCCATAGCTAGTCATTGTCAACCCTCTAACCAATTAGCATAAAACAGAAAATGGGCGATGATGATGATGATGATAACAATAACAATATTTTAAATGGGTAGTTCAAAATACTATTCAAAGAGTGGTTGAAAAGAGTCACCTCTCAGGGATGGGCTGATTGATGACTCCGGGTAAAGTGCCTGCTAGGTAAGTGGAAAGAAACCCTGAGCTCAGATCCCTAGCATGGTAGTGTGAGTTAGCAATACCAGAGTGGTGTGGCAGTGGGCAGAGAGACAAGTAGGTTCTAGAAGCCAGTTGGCTAGCTAGCCTTGCCAAATCAATGAGCTTCAGATTTAATGTAATGTCCTACATCAAAAAATAAAGGTAGAGATCAATTGTCTTAGTTATCTCTGTTGCTGTAGAAAAAAAAACAAAACTAAAAATTGAAAATAAAACAAATTTTTAGAAAGCATCTGACAAAAGCAACGTAAAGGAGAAAGGGTTACTCTGTCTGACTCACAGGTCAAGTATATCAGGTCAGTACTGAGATGTCAAAGTGACAAGAACTTGAGGCAGCTGGTCAGATCAAATCCACAAACAGGGACAGAGAGCCATGAAATCATGGTACGGTACAGTTCCCTGTCTCCACATGCAGTCCCAAGGTTCCAAGAGAGTGATACCGTCTACAATGGACAAGTCTTTCCATTTCATTTGGTCCAGCCAAAATAATCTACCACAAACAAGTCCAGAGACTAAATCAATCAGGAAATCTCTCTTAGGTGTGCCCAGTGACTTTTCTCTCACCAGATTCTAGGTTTTATCAGATCAATAATTAACACTAAACAGGATAGCTATCTGTGCCAACTAGTGGCTTCCACACATGCACATACTGTCATATGCACTTGCACCCACATGCACTCTTAAACACACATACCAGCAAGCACATACATATGCATACATACACACACATGTGCAGGTAAAATTATTGTGTGTGTGTTTGTTTTCTTTTTGTGTGTGTGTATCATTTATTTATTTTTATTTATTTATTTTTTAAATCAAATCGTAATTTTTCCTTATTCACACAGGGGTTGTAAACACAAAAAGGCGCTCTTAAGCATATATGCTGAACATGTAGAAGGGTGTGAGTTGGCTTGTAAGAAAGCAGTGGGGCCTTTGGGCTTAACATGCCTCCTGGGAAACAGCTAGAAACTCATCTTGGAGCATCCTAACTCCATTGCCTTCAACACATTTGCATCAGTGAAGGTCAAGTTCATCAGCATTGCTTCCACTCTAGAAACACATTCAACACATTCATTTCTCCATCATCCTTGTTAGTACTTCCTGTGTTCCAGGAGCCATTGTATGGACCAGGAATACAGCTAAGAAGAACAATGTCTCTATTCTTGCAAAGATTGCAATCTCTTGAAGGAGAAAGATTATAGATATAACAACCAAGGCAATATCAGACCACAACCAGACTATCTCCTGATTATTCCTGCGTTGAATCTGATTTTGTAAAATTGCCTCTGAAACTGAGCATGGTAGTATACACCTGCTATCAAGTTTAAGGTTGTCCTTGGCTATATAGTGAGTTTGAGTTCAGATGGGACTATATGAGACCTTGCCTTATAAATAATAAATTCAACAAACAAAGCCAGAAAGATGGATCAGTGAGTAAGGACACCAGCCACCCAAGCCTAGCTACCTGAATTTGATCCCTGGGTAGAGTGATTAACTATGACAGTTGGTTTTGATGGATAAGAATTCTCCTATGGCTGATTGATGTTAGGTACTAAGTGAGTCTTACTACCATTATGCTGAGTGTGTGCTGTGGATTGACTGTTTTTGTGTCATCCCCAATCCACTGGAACCCTACTTCATCATGTAATGGTATGGAGATATTATTGGAGTGGAGTTGTGAGTGGGAAGTGCCCTTATTAAAGAGAATTCACAGAGCTTTCTGTTTTTAAGCCATATGTACATACATGACACATATAAACTCTTTGAGAGCTTCATATGTGCCTACAGTATATCTTCATCACATTTTCCCACATTCTCTGTGCACACCTTCTCCCAGGTCCAGCTCCTACCCTCAACCCCTTCCCAACTTCATGCATTTTTGATTGTTTTTCAAAATCCACCAAGTCTAATTTGTACTGCCCATATACTCATGGGCATGGGGCCATCCACTGTTCAACCTCCAGGGCCCACATCCTTAAGGAAACCTGGCTTTCCTTCCTTCAGAAGTCATCAACTGTCAATAAATCTTCAGCTAGACCCTTCCCACTCCATGCTGGAATGTTGACTGGCTTGACTGTGTACAGGTTGTATGCAGGCAAACATGGCTGCCTTGGGCTCCTGAGCTCTTTCAGGTCCAGAAGACACTGCTTCAGTCTGGTCCTCCATGACCTCTGTCTCATACACTCTTTCTGCTCTCTCTTCCTTGACAGTCACTAAGCTTTAGGGGAGGGAATATGTTCCTACAGATGAGTGCTCCATAGATGATATCTGTGTCTTCAACAGTACATAGAGCTTTCTTGAGATTATTCACTATGTGACAGTACGAGAGAAGGATTATCACTCTACAACCAGAAGAGGCCCTTGACAGAAGTTGGTACTTGATATGGGACTATAACTGTCAAAAATAAATATGTTTTTATGAGCCCCTAAGTCTATGATACATTGGTTTGATGTGTGTGTGTGTCCATGCTCGTGTATATTATGTGTGCATGTTGCATGTGTGTGCACACGCATGTGGAGACTAGAATAGAACACTGGGCATTAATATCAGATGTCCTCCGTTGTCCTAGTCCTTTGAGACAGAGTCTTTCACTGAATCTAGAGCTCATGATTGGCTAGACA